TGCTCCTGGCCCCTGGGCAGGCTTGCTTCAGGGACACACCCAGGCAAGATGATGCATCTTATCACAAGCCAGAGTGTGGGGGCTGGAGCGGCATGAGTGACCAGTCACTGACAGCTGGGTCATCCTGAGCAAGTGACATTGCGTCTCTGTGCCTCAGTTTCCTCATTCATAAAGTGTGGCCTCTAGGATTCTGGGAGGACCCTGTGGGGATTGGAGCGACTTCATTTTAAATGCTAATCCAGCATGTGACTCCTGACCAGCCTGAGTCTGGGAATACCTCCAAGATGTCGGGTTGATGTATTACTCTTTATGCAGAGCCTCCTAGTCACCAGCCTTTCCTCCAAAACTGCCCTTGGTATTGCATGCGTGACAGGCTGGGACGCCCGCAGACACCTATGCATTCCTTCCAGAGCACGTACGCTTTCTCCCCGAAGGACGGGTCTGGGCGGTTGTGGTGCAGAGATGTACTGTCTTGTGGCTACCCGAGACCACATTTTTGTCTGTCAAATTCCCCCTAATAAATCACCTTTTACTGACAAACCGGGTGCGTCCGCCTCTTTCTTTGGCTTCTTGGCTCCCTCTGCACTTGGGGGGGCCACTTTGCAGATACGGCCTTTTCAGGAAACAGATCCCATGTGGTCAGAGAGGAAGAAGCGAAAGCTGTGATGATTTCCTCCTTCACCTCCCATGGCGGATCCCTGGGCAGGCCCCCGGGCCTGGGCTGGAGGTGGGCGTGGAAACCCATTGCCCTGGGCTCACAAGCAGACCTCGTCCCATGCACCTGCCTCCCCGTCACCCTGCATGGCTGGCTACCACCCTGGAGGGACCTAGGTGCAGGTTTGGGGTGAGGATGGGGTGGGCCACAGTGGAAGACTTTTCTGATCTAAAATACACTAGCAGGGCCTGGGTGAGGTGGCTCCCAGCACTTTGGGAGGCCAAGGAAGGAGGATCACTTGAGGCAAAGAGTTTGAGACCAGCTTGGCCAACACAGTGAAACCCCATCTTTTCTAAAAATAGAGAAAAAAACATAGCTGAGTGTAGAGTGTAGTGGTGCCTGCCTGTAATCCCAGCTACTCAAAAAGCTAAGGCATGAGAATCGCTTGAATCTGGGAGGAGGAGGTTGCAGTGAGCCGAGATCATGCCATTGCACTCCAGCCTGGACAACAGAGAGAGACTCTGTCTCAAAATAAATAACTGAAAAATAAAATAAAATACACTGAGCAATATCTTCCAACTCAGTCCTTCTGGAAGCTCTGCATTTCAGGATTCGGGGGCTGGTGTATTAGGAAAACTCACCCTTTTCTCATGCCGGTCACATTATGCTGGTTCTCAGCTAGCTCAGAACTCAGAGGGGGCCGGGCACAGTGGCTCACACTTGTAATCCCAGCACTTTGGGAGGCTGAGGCAGGTGAATCACCTGAGGTCAGGAATTTGAGACCAGCCTGGCCAACACGGTGAAACCCCGTCTCTACTAAAAATACAAAAATTAGCTGGGTGTGGTGGCGTGCACCTGTAGTCCCAGCTACTCAGGAGGCTGAGGCAGGAGAATCGCTTGAACCTGGGAGGTGGAGGTTGCAGCGAGCCGAGATCTCACCACTGCACTCCAGCCTGGGTGACAAGAACGAAACTCGGTCTCAAAAAAAAAAAAAAAAAAAAGAACCTGGCTGGGGACAGCATGGGCTTAAGTGCAGCCGAAGTGGTCAGCAAAGTCCACCAGGCTCCGCCAGCCCCGCCTCCCTCTGGGCTCCCTTCTTCTTCCTTCTCTCCTGGCCAGCGTCCCTCCACTCCCTTTCTCTTTACCCACGGCCTCTGCTGGCTCAGGCTTCTGGCTGGGTGTTCTCTGGTTCGCCTACCCCCATCAGTCGTCTGCCTGAGTGTTTCATGGCCTCCCTGGGAGAGCTTTGGATTGGGTAGACTGACACCCACGTACGGCCAACTCTCTCCATGGGGCACAGCCGTTGCCCTGAGCCATTAGAGATCCACTCTGCCGATAGCTCAGGGGCCATCCTTGGTCTGATCACCTGTGCTGGGGACAACAGGTCACACAGAACCCGGTGCTCTGTGGGGAAAGCCCGCCAGGAGGGGGTACTGCACATGGCAGAGACTCGGAGGGCCAGGGGTCCAGCGGGCGCTAGTGTGCAGATCTGCGTGGCTGAATGAGTGGATGGCTCACCCACAGAGGATGGTGGCCAGGACAGAAGAGGACTCCAAGCAGGTTCATGCCAAGAGCCATGGAAGGCACTGGGGTTTGGACTTGGGGAAGAGAAGATATCCGTGTAGCCTCAGCTATAGTTGGTAAGGCTCGCTCCTGGTTCTGAGCCTCCCTCTTCTCAAGACAGATGAATGCCTGAGCTTCCTAGACCCTTTTGCTGGTGGGCAGGGTCATGTGACTAGTTCCAGCCGCTACAGGTGACATATGTCACTTTTGAACCAAACACTGAGACCCGTGTGAGATTTGTCACGTTCTCTTGCCTGGCTGCAGTGAATTCTGAAGCTTTTTGTTCAGATTTAAGTAGCTTGGAATGCACACCTGCCCCGGGAAGAAGAGCTGAGGAAGGAGCCCCCGCAGGCACTGACGTCTCCCCGCCCATCTCTCCTGACACAGGCCCAGGTTGGGTGCTGAGTCGGGAAGGTTGGTGCCACTGGCAGACAGGAAGACTGGCATGGAAGACGGAACCAAACTGGCTTAGAACCTGGGGCTCTGAGGTTCAGATGGCAGACGTCACGAGTCTGGAGGGCAACAACTGTGCCAAGCATACCCCTGCACCCGGGGCAGTGCCAGGCACAGATGCATGCTCAGCAAGTGGATTCTAAATTGATCCTATAGACGGGCTCCAATCAACACACATTGCTAGACCAGAGTGACAGCTCCCAGGGCCTGTGGACATGCATGTCTCAGCTCAGGGCAGCAGCAGCTTCTCATCCTAGGGCACTGCGCTGTCTAACACGCAGCCAGTGGCCACACGTGGCTCTTTCACTCTAAATGAGTTACACTGAAACTCAGGTCCACTCGCATCAGCTGCATTTCAAGTGCTGGTGGCTGCCGTGTAGGACAGGTTGGATATAGAGTGCCTTTGTCACTGTAGGCAGTGCGACGGGACAGTGCTGTTGTAGAAGCATGTACGCCACGAGACTGTTTGGGGAAAGCACAGAAACCAGATGAGCTCTAGCCGTGTTACAAAATACTCCAAAGACATTCCCAGTTCACAGAGTGTGGTTACAAAGCCATCGGCCCTCTCAGGCTTAGGGTTTGATAGAGGGAAACGGTCAATAAAGCACGAAAGAAACTGTGGGCTGGGCGCGGTGGGAGGTGATATAATCCAAGCACTTTGGGAGGTCGAGGTGGGAGGATCACCTGAGCTCAGTTCAAGACCAGCCTGGCCAACATGGTGAAACCCCGTCTCTACTAAAAATTAGCCGGGTGTGGCGGTGCACACCTGTAATCCCAGCTACTCGGGAGGCTGAGGCAGGAGAATCTCTTCAACCCGGGAGGTGGAGGTTGCAGTGAGCCGAGATCACGCCATTGCACTTCAGCCTGGGTGACACAGCGAGATTCCATCTCAAATAAATAAATAAAATAAAAAAGAAGAAACTGCGGACACACAGAGGGCATGAGGAGCGCCGTGACGGGTGGCGGTTTGGAAAGTCATCAGAGGGCCCTGTCTGAGCGGGGAGCTTCGGAGTCGAATTGAGAAGGAAGGGAGGGGCCCTGTGTTGAGAAGCAGCAGAGCCACCCTGGGAGGGAGATCTGGGTGAAAGCCGGAAGGCTGGCTGTTGGAAGAACTCAGAGAGAGCCACAGTTAGTGGGTGTGACCGTGGGGACAAACACACAGGCCAGGTGGTGGGGGATGGGAATGGCAAGTGTGGGGTCACATAAGTCCTGGCTCTTGAGGCCACAGGCGAAGGCCATGGGGAGCTTGGTGTCATCCGACTGGTGTTTTCAAAGCGTCACTCTGGCTCTGGGTGGGAATGATTCGCCCAGAGGCAAGTGTGGGCCCGGACTGCAGAGGAAGGCCGTGCTGCTGGCAGGGAGGGGCCCGAGTGTGGCCAGGGCGCCTGCGTGTCCCGGCTGCCAGGGCCAGACCAGGCTTATACCTGTGTCCAGGGTCATGGGTCACGGTGCCACCTCCTGTTCTCAGCACGTCCACAGCAGGGTGTGTGCAGGTGGAGAGCGGTAGGCCGATGCTTGGGTGGCGGCACTTACCAGGGCTTGCGGGCAGTTGTCCTCGGCGGCTGGGGAAAGCAACCGAGGAAAACGCTGATTTCTGACTGTAACTGGGTAGACGGTGGTGGCAGGTTGTGTGAATGGACAGGCTTCTGGGGGGAAGACCCAAAGTTCAAAAGAACCATGAATGTCATTGGAATAGGATTAGAGATGCTGAGACACTTAATCCCAGCAGGGCATGGTTTAATCCGTGTGGGAGCCTGGCCCGCACTCTTTCCTTCCAGTCTTTTCCTTTGCCCTGTGTTCAGCCATAACCAGTCACTGAATTTTCTGGAACCTGTGAGGCTGTTTCCAGCCTCAGCACCTCCGCTACGGCTGTTCCAGCTGGCCAGAATGCCCTTCCCTTATTGGGGAGGTATTTATTCCCTTACCTCCCATTTGCCAAGGCTTAGCGTGGCAGCATCTTGTCTAGAAAGCCTCCCCTGGCCTGGGGGTGTATTTGGGAACTCCCTGGGGCCAGCTCCACAGAACAGCGATCAGCCTGGCTGCCCGCGTCTCCCCAACCTCGGGGGCAGGTGCCCATCAGGTTTCACTCCTCACTGGCGTCAGCAGAGTGCCCGGCCCTGGTGAGGGCCCAGGAATGCATCCGCGTCTGCGCAAGCTGCCTCTGGGGAATGTCCTATGGGGCCCCTCCCCAAGGCCTTGCCTGCCCCGTGCACATACCCAGCGCCATACCGGGAACAGGCGCCCTCCCCAAGGCTCCTGCCCCTTGCAGGAGGGGCCTTGCCTTTAAAATCACACACGTTCATAACAAGTGCTCTCGTACTTCCGCAAGTGATAATGCATCGTCTTTTATTTTCCAGGCTTCCTGGGATCAGACATGACATTGCACTACTGAGAAATGGGGGTTTCCAGTTGCTCAGGCTCAGATTGCTCAGCGGCAGGAAGCGGATTAGGTGCTAAAAACTCCCCCTCCCTGGCCGAGCCGGGCGGGTGAGAAGCCGAGTGGGAAATGGGACTTGGCATGTCGTGGGCGCTGAGGAAGCGGAGTAAGGCCGACTCACAGGCAGGAACACTGGGACACACACAAGAGGCAACACCCACTGAGGACGGGGAAACAGACTCCGGCGTTTCAGCCACCTCTCAGCGCGCTGCGGGCATCCCGTGGCGGCCGGCGCTGCACTTCGACACACGCCTCATGGCAGACACCAACGCCTTTGCGTGGGAGCCCGGCCAGCCTCCTGCTTGGGGATGCCCTGCTGGCGTCGGGGATGAGGAGAGGCGTACCTCTATCCTTTGCTTCCCAACAGCGTGTGGGTGTCTGTTTCAGGGACACACAGGAGCTCATTGCTCCCGGGGCGTGTGGGGTTTGCTTTTCAGGTGGGTGTGCTGAGACACCGCCAGCCACAGCACAGGACGGCACACCGAGAGAGCTATGTCGGGCATTCGGTGGCGGACGCGGAAACCTTTTATTCCAGGACTTTGGCCACCAGAGGAAGATGTTTTCTCTCCAAGACTTGGAAAAATAACAGCAAGGAAAACAGTGATGGCTGCACCTGACATGTATTTACAAAGCGTGATTCAGAGGGTCTGTCTTTAAGGTTTACCTGTGTGACGCGAAAAAGAAAAGAGGAGAAACCAGACAGGGAGCTCTGTGTATGAGGACCACACCGAGAACCGACTGAAACCACACAGATCGGAGCGGTGGAGAATAAGGCTGGAGGCCGCTCCCCTGCGGAGGGGCCGTGAAATTCAACTCTATATATGTCATCTTGTGTTTAAGTAGGCTATACTTTTTAATAAAATAAAAACTTCTGTGTAACTTTAAAGATATTGTGTAGGCATCTAGGGGGTGATCTGGAAGAGGGACGCGGCGCATGGAGGGGCGCTGCCAGAGGTGCCTGTCAGTTGACGTTTGTTCCTAAAGATACCCGTCACAGACGCCTGCAAAAATCACGCACCCTACTCTTGGCACCGCCCCAGACACTCCCTGCCCTGTCTGCAGGTCTGCCTGTGAGGCAAGGCTGCCCAGGCTCCAAAGGGGCTGTGTGCCCATCCTGGAACAATGGTATCAGTGCCCATCTTCGATAAGCCTCACAGCTCACGTTCAGGGCACCTCTGTCCCCCACGTGCCTAGCACCGGGGCCAGGGCACCTCCAGGATGCCGGGAAGGTAGGCTGGGCTGCAGCCACCTGTGCACTCCGTCTGATGCCCCACACAGCCAGTTTGCAGCCTCTCCCTGACACCAAGCCACAGCGGGGAAGGGTGGTGTGAAGCTAGCTGTCTCAGCCCTAAACTACGGGCAGGAGTGGTGCCGGCAGGCACAGGGGCTGCATCTGCTGGGGGACCCGCCCACCCCATTGACACAGAGAAGCCAGAGGAAGGTGTGTGGGAGGGGCGGGCACGGTTCTCGCCAGGGACCCCTCGCCTCGGCTCCCGGCGCGCACCAGTGGGCAGGCTGGCAGCCGTCAGAACAACAGGGCTTTCTTCTTCAGGTCATTCCTCTTCCAGAGGGCCAGGCGGTCAAACTCCTCCATGCTCATACCGAACACGTCCTGGAACTCCTCAGGCGACAAGTGTCTCTTCAAAAAAAAGTAAAAAAAAAAAAAAAAAAAAAAAAAAAAAAAAAAAAAAAAAAGGCCAGTTAGCAATGCAGCAAGGCAACAAAGCGAAACACGCCACTGGGCAGTTTGCTGCCACCAAGCAATCAAGGGGCAGGGTCACACTGAGGACGGGGTAGTGGCCCTCAGCATGCCCGGCCTCCTGGCAGTTCCTGGCACCCTCTCTGCTGTGAAAGGACTGAGTTCAGAGAACAGCGACCCTGCCAGGGACACGCAGGAGACACAGCGGCCAGTGGCGGAGCTGGGGCCAGAACCCTCTGCTCTTGACTCCTACAAAGGCATGTGCTGCTGCAGACCAAGTTCATCCCGTTCTGAGTAGGACCCCCTCTGCCTGCGGACAGCTGAGCGTCTGCAGATTTCATTCAGTGCTCATATTTATTACTTCAGCGAATGGTCACAGCTGCTGTCTTGAGTAGGAGGTGAAGGGTTTACCCCCGGACTTCATAGCCCAGGAAGTTGGGGTGCAGACAGTGAGAAAAGACACTGAGCAAGGCTCAGGCCCGGGGGCAGCTCCTCCATCTCCCAGAAGCCTCTGGTGTGTGAGCATGAGAGAGTGATCGTGCCTCTCTGCGCCCAGCTTCTTGCTGGGGACACCGTGCGGAGGCACACAGCTCGGTGGTCAGGGCGTGGATGCCGGCCCTTCTGGGATGCCGTGTGAGTGAGTTAGGCCCTGGCACCTCAGTCTGCTCATCTGTGTCATGGGGCCCCCTAGAACCCACACCCTGGAGCTGCAGGGAGGAAGGTGTGCACAGTTAGCACTGGCTGTGGACTGTACCGGCAGTGCTGGCCGCACAGGTTACGCGTAACCTCGGTCACTGCAAGCTGGGTGGAGCTCCCTGCCAAGCAGGCACCTGCCTTCCAACCTCTGCCTCTAAGGGTCTGTTCCCCCTACTCTCAGCAGGCTGTGAGAAACCCCTCATCCCTCGGAGCTGGCTCAGGCATCCCCTCCCCTTGAGGGGCCTTTCCAGGGAGCGCTGAGCTTTCCATCCAAGGCTGCTGCCCTTGCCTCGCCTGGGCCGGGCTGAGAGGATCAACTGGAAGGAGGCTGGAGAAGGCCAGTGGCTAGGAGGCCAGGCTCTGTCCTCAATCCCGTCTGCTGCCATCTGAAAAGTGTGGCCTCAGTGCCGCTGTGTGGGGAGCAGTTTTCTGCAGTTCTGTGAAACGCTCCACCCGTTCACATCTGCCCCAGCCACCCACTCTTGGGCAGACACCCGGGGGAATGGAAAACAGGGACTCAGACAGACAACGGTCGCCCACGTTCGTAGCAGCATTATTCAGAATCACTCCGGCGTGGACACGAGCCAGGTGTCCATCTCGGATGAACAGATACACAGAATGTGGCACGTCCGAGCGACGGAATAGCCTTCAGCCTTCAAAGGCCGTCAAGTTCTGACACACGCCACAGCTGGCCAAGCCTCAGACACACTGGCTCTGTGAAGGAAGCCAGACACCAAAGACCACGTGGTGCATGACTCCACCTGCATGAAATGTCCCGATTAGCAAGACCACGAAGATAGAGCGCGGATTTGTGGTCGCCATGGGCTGGGAGAGAGAGAGGAGGAGAGGCTGCTTCATGCGTATGGGGTTTCCTCTTGTGGTGACAAAAATGTTCTGGAGCTGGATGGCAAGGCTGGTTGCAGAAGGTTGTGAACCGTACTGAATGGTACACTTTAAAATGGCTAAAGTGGGCCTGGAATTTATGCACTTCGGGAGGTGGAGGCGGTTGGATCACCTGAGGTCGGGAGTTCAAGACCAGCCTGGCCAACATGGCAAAACCTTGTCTCTACTAAAAATACAAACATTAGCCAGACGTGGTGGCATGCACCTGTAATCCCAGCTACTCAGGAGGCTGAGGCAGGAGAACTGCTTGAACCCAGGAGGTGGAGGTTGCAATGAACTGAGATTGCCCCACTGTACTCCAGCCTGGATGACAGAGTGAGACTCCGTCTCAAATAAATAAATAAATAAATAAAAATAAAATAAATAAAATAGGGCTGGGCATGGTGTCTCACGCCTGTAATCCCAGCACTTTGGGAGGCCGAGATGGGCGGATCACCTGAGATCAGGAGTTCAAGACCATCCTGACCAACATGGAGAAACCCCGTCTCTACTAAAAATACAAAACTAGCCAGGCGTGGTGTTGCACGCCTGTAGTCCCAGCTACTTGGGAGGCTGAGGCAGGAGAATCGCTTGTACCCAGGAGGCAGAGGTTGCAGTGAGCTGAGATCGCGCCACTGCACTCCAGCCTGGGCAACAAGAGTGAGATTCCATCTCAAAAAAAAAAAAAAAAAATGGTTAAAATGGTCAATTTGGATGGGCATGGGGTCTCACACCTGTAATCCCAGCACTTTGGGAGCCTGAGGCGGGCAGATCACTTGAGCTCAGGAGTTTCAGATCAGCCTGGGCAACATGGCGAGACCCCGTCTCTACAAAAGTTACGGAAATTAGCTGGGTGTGCAGGCGTGTGCCTGTAATCCCAGCTACCGAGGAGGCTGAGGTAGGAGTGTCACTTGAGCCCGGGGGGGTCGAGGCTGTAGTGAGCTGTGATCGCACCTTGGCACTCCAAACCTGGGTGACACAGCAAGACCCTGTCTCAAAAAACAGACAGACAAAACCCTCAAGTGCTATATTAGAATCACTGTGATCAGCAAATGAGAACATGACAGTGGAGACGTCCGGCCACTGAAACGTGTAAACCGCTGCCCTTGATGCATTTCACAGCAATCACCCAGTCTGCATGGTATGCACTGGATTTTGGAGTTGTTGGAGTGATCTGGAGGAGGGACTCAGGAAATCCCACCCCCCAACACACACACAGCACAGCCAGCAAGTCTGCCAGGAAGAGGCCCTCAGCTGCCTGCTGCTATCTCGAGTTTGCAAAGACGAAAAGAATCCTGATACGTGCCGGAAACGAACCACTTGCACGGTGTTAAGATCAGGGTTTCCCGTCAGCCAGTCCACAGAAACTTAGAACTGTCACTTCAGATAGTGTCTCCTAAGACGTTCAAGACACTCAATGTGTCATTTACCACACTGGCCCTGGGCCGGGCGCGGTGGCTCACGCCTGTAATCCCAGCCCTTTGGAGGCCGAGGCGGGTGGATCACTACGTCAGGAGTTCAAGATCAGCCTGGCCAAGACGGTGAAACCTCATCTCTACTAAAAAATACAAAAATTAGCCAGGCATAGTGGCTGACACCTGTAATCCCACCTATTCGGGAGGCTGAGGCAGGAGAATGCCTTGAACCCGGGAGGCGGAGGGTTGCAGTGAGTGGAGTTCCTGCCACTGCACTCCAGCCTGGGTTGATACGGCACAGCGAGACTCCATCTCAAAATGAATGAATGAATGAATGAATGAATACATAAAAGACAGCAGCCCTGCACTTATAGGTACCAAATCACCATCTTCCCAATTACAGTGGAACAATCAAGACAAATGAGATCAAAGGAAATAAAAAGGAAAAGCATTTCTAGCTTTACCCCACAAATATTGACCAAGCTGCAGTGATACCCCAGACCTTGTTCCAGACGTGGAAAGCCAGAGACACAAGGCCCCTGGGGGGGTCGGCTGGGGAGGTGAACTGACACGTAAGCATGTAAGGGATCGGAGGCTGACGCGGAAGGGACAGCAGAGTTCAAGCCCAGTGCCGGCGCCTGGGGCAGGCCTGCCTGCTGCCACATTCCTGCTTCTGGCCGGAGGAGGCTAGGGGAGGGGCACAAAGGTGCTAGTGGGCAGCGGGAAGGTGTCAAGGAGGTGGTGTGGCAGTGCCCAGTGCCCCCTGCCATCTGCACTTGTGTATTTAAAGGAAGACTGGTGAGCAAGCGGGGTCTTGGGTTTAGTTGGAGGAGGGAGGAGGGAGGAGGGAGGTGACAGGGGGTGGCGGTGGGGGGTGGGCAGTTATGCCCCGCATGCTGGGAAAGGAGAGAAGGGCAGGTGTGAGGATGACACCATGGGCTCCAGACTGTGGGAGCCTCTGGGGAGGGTGATTGGAGGAAGACTTGGAGCTGGCAGGCTAGCAGGAAGGTTGGCAGGGTGCCGGGAGGTGGGTGTGGGAAGCAGAGGTACCCTGGGGGATGATTGTGGGGGGCGGTGGAGGGCTGGTGTGGCTGGGGTGGTGGAGAGAGCATCTGGGTGGCTTCTGAAGTTGCTGTGCATGGTTACCTCCTCTGGGAGCGTGGCACTGGGACCAGGATGCTGCATCACCAGAGGCCCCGGGGAGCAGCCAGGTTTGGCAGAGCACAGCAACAGGGAGGGGCCAGGGGTGTCCTGAGCATGGGGGCTGGGCCGGGCCACTCGTATGTGGCCTACAGGGCCCAGGACTTGGGGCCAGGGTCTCGGAGACTGGCAGGGACCCCCGGGCTCCAGTCCTATTTTCGGTCTGCAGGGTGAGAAGGGAACTTGGTTGCCTGAGTACCCAGAAGGCTGGGTGAGGGTCACATGAGGGGCCGTCCCCAGTAGGGGGTCTGTTCATGACTCTGGGCTCCAGCTGTGGGATCCTGAGTGTCACCCCTCACCTGGCTGAGTCTCCACTGCCTCCTGGGTGAGAAGGGCTCCAAGGCCCCACCCCTGCCAGCTGTAGAACCGCCGTTCAATCTCTCTCCGGGCAGAGGCAGGCAGGCTTTCGCATGGGTCTGCCAGGGCAGGCAGGATGGGCGAGGCCCAGCTGACCCCAGAGGCCGGGCCAGCTTTCTGGCCTCAAGCCCACTCCTCTGGCCCCGGGTTCCTGAAGGCTCTCCAGGAGTGCACCTCACCCCCAGGGCCTGCGCAGGCCAAGCCCAGCTGTTCCTGAGCTGGAAGGAAGGCAGCCTGGGGTCGTGTCTTTGCAGAGGGCGGGATGGCCTCGCTGAAGAGGTACACTGGCTTGTCCGGGGCGAATCCTGCAGGGAGGTGTTTTTGCCGCGTGGGAGGGGGTCTGCTTCAGGAAGCACAGGCTCAGAGAGGTTGTGTGACTTGCCCAAGGTC